CATCTACAATCCATCCGCAAACTGTGGCGTAACTAGCCAGGCGCTGCCTTCCACTGTTCGTGAAACTGTGGTCTCCTTCGGTCATCCATCGCTCCCACGCCGCTCGCAGCCTTACTTTGAACGGCCGGTTCACACCGATGTCGAGCGGTTGCAGTTCCTTTGTCAGACCCCCCGGGATAACGGCGAGCACAGCGTTCATTTGTTTCACCTTTTTTTTTCACATCGGCTGTGAGATGGGCACGCATGGAGTCACAGATTAACAGCGATGTTGATGCGTAGAAAAAACCACCTGGTCTCCTCACATACACCTCCCTCAGCCACGCTTTCATCATCTCCTCATCCATCCAGCCCTTTTCATTTGCCTTAATAACTACTCCAGCTGGAAAAGTCTCTTTAGTAAACGACGCCTTTTCATACCCCGTTGTGTGTATCGCTACAGTGCTGGTCCCCTTCTTCTCCACCGTGTGATTCACCGGGATGTCGAAAGTGAGCGGCACCTCGTCCATGTTGGTGATGTGGCTTGGCTGGATGCGTTTGTCGGCGTTGTGTTTGCTGCAGTAGGAGTGGAAGCTCGCCAGCTTTTTATTATAATCCGCCGGACGTTGCTTAGCAACTGTAGTCCTAGTCCGGATGGAAAAATTGCACCGTTTCATAAAACGAAAGCACCACGACGGACTTCCTTGAAAATGTTCAATTTTCATTTCTTCCGCTAGCTTTACTGCTTTTAGTCGAACAGCGACCGTTGAAACGCTCGCCCCACTCGTTCTTTGCTTGATGATCCACCGCTCGAGTCTTTCCTCCAACCCGGGCCACCTTCGCGCAAACTCAGCTGCGTCTTCTTCACCTGTCGGAGTTCGTTTTCCATCTTCCTCCACTTGCGAACCATCGATTCATTTATCTTGAATTCTCTCGCGGCTGCTCGATTTCCATGTTCCTCTGCGTAGCTGATAGCCTTCAGTTTAAACTGTGCTTCATAGGCGTGTCTCTTTGCCATTTCCAGGGTTGTTAAGACAACAATGTTCTGCATAAAGCACCTACCTGTTCTTTTATACACAAGCCACGCCCACACTTCCCCCTTTAACATTCTCATGATGGTCTCAACAATGTCCGCAGATACCATAGAGCACCATAGGGCGCGCCGCACATTTTGAGGGAAAAAAAAGACCTTTATATGCGCCTTATAGTCGTGAAAATATGGTAAACATTATACTAGGGGTGAGTATTGGCATGGCTGTTGCGATACTTGGTCACGTTACGATACTATCACCATATTACAATATCACCATATATTTCGATATCTTTCCGGCTATCAAAATTAAGGCCCCGTCCACACGAAGATGAACCATGGCCTAAACGCACAAATTTTTCACCAAACCAGTCTCTCATCCACACGAAGCCGGCGTTTCGGGGGTCTGTAAACAATCTTTTTTTATTCAGCCTTTAGAGTGGGAAAATTTCGAAACGCCGTTTTC